TTCATTGGCGTAAGTCATCAAAGAAACAATGCTGAGAATATGAGCGACCCACTTTGTCTTGCCTCATGCATGCTGGTATGAGCAAAATGAGCCAAGTCATTGTTTGTTCAGACTAAGTTCATTTTAGTGGATTCCTTGCCCCACTGTTTAAGATAATTCCAGGGCAAATGTTCAACTTTTATCCACATTGACTAAACAATAGTAGTATTATCAACACTTGAGCCCAACACAAAACATTCCTCACTCCCCTCCCTGCCAGCAAGGGCGAAGACTAAAATGTGCCTGTGTCTGAATCCCCACAGCAGCACCTCCCCTGCTACCCAACAACTCCAAACCCGCTGCAATAATAATCCTCTGATTACTACATCAATTTCTTGTACCCTAATTTCGACAGCAATGTGGCTTTACTACCTGACTTCCCTGTCGTGTTTGGTTTTGTCTACAGTGAAGGGGGGGGGGGGTTGCAAGAAGAGGGCACAGATGTGACCTAAATAAAGAGATTAACTATCCACCTGTTACTGCAGTTTCCAAAATTTGCCAAGTAGGAAAACACACAGGACAAGTTGAGGGAGGGGGGCGGGGGGGGGGTCTTTTATTATTTAATCCATGGTCTTGGTGTTACTAGGCTAACACAGTGCGATTGCCCTTTAAGAGTGGAAAACCCCATGATGCAGCAGAGGATGAATGCCATCACTGCAAAACAGACAGCAGACCCTGCATCATAATTGGGTTGCGAGAGTTATGTGGTGCATATTTTCCTTAGATGATTTTGAAGTGTCAGAGGGGAATTGTGCAAGTGTGTCAACATGTATGGTTTAAGTAGATAGCATTACTTCATTGTATCTGAACACACTTATTCACTGTTTTTCACTTTTATTGAAGTCACAAAGAATTTCAGTGTTGTCCAATATTACCTGAAGAAGGCTGCTGCACAATAGTTGCAGCACAAAAGCTTGGCAAATGGAAACCTACCCAAAATTCAAATTTGTCAATGCAGCAGTTCTGCATTACATGTAACGCAAACTATAGATACTGATTTTGCGCACTGTACACTGAGTAAGAAGAAGCTGTAAATTACATCAACATCGACAGCTGTCTTCTTAAGCAATGTGCAAATATACCATATTTTCTGCACTATAAGGAGCTTTGGAGTATAAGGCACACCTTCAATGAATGGCCTATTTTAAAACTGTATTCATATACAGTATAAGGCACACCGCATTATAAGACTCAGAATAGAAGCTACAATAGTGGCTGTGATTGCGTTATGCATCAACTAGATGGAGCTACGCAAAAGGGAATACAAAACAATCCCGCTTTATTTAGTGCTTTCACAACTGCTGCAGCTGTAAAACAAAGCACTTTACAGAACATTTAAAATACTACGTAAAAGAAACTAAAATATTGATCCATATATAAGGCGCATCGGATTATAAGGCGCACTTGTCAGCTTTTGAGAAAATTGAATGTGCCTTATGATGCCGAAATTATGGGTAATTATTTTTTGTTTTCAGTTTCAATTTGTCAACCAGAGATCACATATTGTATTCAATCTAGTCATGCAATGGGGGACATATACTTCAGGATTGCACTTAAGTAGAATGCTCATTTGTATCTCGGTTTATTGACGTGTTGAGTAACTTTCACTTTTAGACCACTACATTTCCTAAATAAATGAACTGTATACTTTTACTCTGACCTATTTCTCCTAACCATCTTAGTTGCTTGTTACTCTGAAAATCTGAAAAAAAGTGTTTGTTGTCGTAACGCCTGTAAGGTATAGCACAAAGCAGAATAGTCCTGCCTTTACTAATGAGGTGGGGATACTGGTAGGGAGGAGGGCATGAAAATGAGATGCAGGTAACAAGAAAGTCTTTACACTGGCAGTGTGTGTTGCTTTCTGTTCCCTCTTTCTGACTTGAGGCCAGCAGATGTCAGTGGTGCTAATAAGCCAACAACCACATCTTTAACTCCTGACACTTCAGAAGTAAACAAAATAAATAAAAATAACATTTAAACAAAGAAAAACAATCAAAATTAGAACCACTTATTAAAAAAAAGTTCAATCATACTTCCAATATTTACCGGAGTTATCTTTAATGTCGTAAAAATGACTGTTAATAGTTATATTCTGCAAGGTGACTTTAACCCTTTCAGGGACAGCGGTTACTACAGTGGACAGTTTTTCATGTTATCAGGTTACAGGGTGCATGGAAGGGTTGATTTCACCAAAGTTATTTCTGGTAAGTAACTTGTACTTTGAATCAATGATCACTTTCAGGTGCTTTATACAAGACTGCATACAAGTCAACAAAATGGGGAAAAGGTGCGGGTTGCATGTGATGGGTGCATGACATTTTGCTTCGGAGTGAAACATATGCAATAGTTACTGGACACTCACAACGTCTGAAAGAAAAGTTCACACCAATATTACCATGGATATCGATTTTGGAGGCTTGATATAGTAAAAATCCACAAAGGTAAATGACTCAGTTGATAGTGATAAAGGCACAAAGTAGTAATGAGTAATGAAAACAGAAGTGAGTGATGCCATTCAGCAAAGGAGTTGTCGCTGTGGAATGTGAGCCTCCATTCATTCATATGGGTTAAACATGCATTTCTACCATCACAAAGCCCTGCCTTGTCCTCATTGTCACATTGACACATCAGTAAAACACTGTCTTGGACACACACAAACACACACACACACACACACACACACACACACGCACACACACACACACACACACACACACACACGCACACACACACACACACACACACACACAAACACACACACACAAAACAGATATTAACTGTGTAAGAAAATGTCAACCAAAAAAAGTACAGGGACAAAATGTGTTTGTGTAAGTTTGTGGGAGAATGGGGGTGGGAGTGTGGGGGGGTAACTTAACAAAAGTCAAGTCTGTGGAAAAGATAGAATCATAACAGAGTTGAAAGTTCATGATAAGCACAGGGGGTGTGAAGCACACAAGCTTCTGCACAACAGTTCCACAGACTTAACCGGAATGTGTGTTTATGACAACAATGGAAGACAACGTCAAGCGTCATTTAGGTCCACAAAACATTGTTCTTTCAATTCTTTATACAATGGCATTGATTTTCAGTCATTACTCAACTTGTAAACACAAAAAGGATAATGTGCCTTTCTTTTACGACAGTCTCTAGTCTGCACTAAGCTTAACAAGCACTGTGCTAAGGAGGCACCAAGGAAAACAACATTGCTGAAAAACAATGTGTCTATTGTCTTTTTTATAAAGTGAATCACATTTAAGGATCTAAAACATCCCAATCTAGTGTTCTTCACATTTTCCATTAAGCTTTGGTGACTAAACATGACCACTGTCATTGACTCGGTCACCTTGGCTACGATAAATCATAAATTACTGCTGTGTCGTGTGACTGGTGAGTATGTGATTACACAGTGAGAGCATCTGGCTGTCGATGGAAGAAAAAAATAATACCAAATAGTGTCTGAGGTCTACGTGTAATCCTGCCTTCAAAGTTACAGTCTCCCTCCTCCTTCCGCTTTCTCTTTACAGTGAAGGAAATAAATACTTCTCTGTTTTCACATCAAGAACAGGTAAAGGAGATCACAAATAAATACGGACATGGAGGAGGTTACTTGAATTGTGAAAACGTAATAGAGGCGATATGTGCCTCTACCTAAAACTCGCATAAGTAATTGCAGTTTTGGTTTTGACTGCGTGTAAATGGGCGCCGCGTGTGTGCGTGCGTGTCATAAAGGCAACTAGTATTCAACAAAAATTCCAGCAACATGAAAATTGGACACGCCTAGATTCTTGATCACTCATGTTAGATAAACTGTAAAAAAAAAAAAAAACATCCAGTGAGACTGCTTTGGCACGCATTAACGCGCACAAGCACGTATGTGCACAAGCTCTCTCTCGCTTTCCCTTCCTATGGTTTACATAACAATTATGATAAGTCTGCCCCCCGAGGGAGGATGGCTGCATAAAGAGTATCTTTAATCGTTAATAAGACCTTTACATTTATTTTTAACTTGACCTAATGCGTCTGCTCCCTTCTGTCGGTATGCTCAATTGCTCCAAATATATAACTCAAATAATACCAAATAGTGTCTGAGGTCTACGTGTAATCCTGCCTTCAAAGTTACAGTCTCCCTCCTCCTTCCGCTTTCTCTTTACAGTGAAGGAAATAAATACTTCTCTGTTTTCACATCAAGAACAGGTAAAGGAGATCACAAATAAATACGGACATGGAGGAGGTTACTTGAATTGTGAAAACGTAATAGAGGCGATATGTGCCTCTACCTAAAACTCGCATAAGTAATTGCAGTTTTGGTTTTGACTGCGTGTAAATGGGCGCCGCGTGTGTGCGTGCGTGTCATAAAGGCAACTAGTATTCAACAAAAATTCCAGCAACATGAAAATTGGACACGCCTAGATTCTTGATCACTCATGTTAGATAAACTGTAAAAAAAAAAAAAACATCCAGTGAGACTGCTTTGGCACGCATTCACGCGCACAAGCACGTATGTGCACAAGCTCTCTCTCGCTTTCCCTTCCTATGGTTTACATAACAATTATGATAAGTCTGCCCCCCGAGGGAGGATGGCTGCATAAAGAGTATCTTTAATCGTTAATAAGACCTTTACATTTATTTTTAACTTGACCTAATGCGTCTGCTCCCTTCTGTCGGTATGCTCAATTGCTCCAAATATATAACTCAATTTTACCCGTTACCAGATAAACAATGTTGTATAAGTATAGCATACGGTGTTTGCTCTTGTTCAGTGAGGTTCCAGTTCATATCAGTCAAGTATTCCTCAAAATGAACCAAAATCTGTTTGGGAGTAAATGCACTTTTGTTTCTCACTCTTAAAGGAAATGACTTGTTAAAGGGAAGCACACGCTCTTGGCGAAACCTCAGGCTACTCCAAAGGCAGCAGCAACACCATCAAAATAACAAATAAATATCTGCAGTCACTTCCTTACCAGTTGAAACACCGTTGAAGCCCGCAGCATACGCACACAAAAAAAAAAAAAAAAAAAAAAAAACGGTGCGTCGTTCCAAAAAGCATATGTCAAGAGTCCGGATCCAGTCAAGGTAAACATGGATTGTTTAGTATTGCGTGTCTTCCCTTGAAGCCCAAAAAATATTATCTGTTGTAGATTCCTGTCTCCTGATGTTGTGGAAGAGTACAGGTTCCTCTCACACTCCACTCGGAGTGTGTCCTTCTGGTCTCTGCCGTTTCACCGATGCTGCCTTCACTGCACTGCGGAAAGTTTACCATCTTAAAGTACAGTCGGATTGAGTGGCAGGAGAACCGTCGAAGAATATGATCGTTTGAAGATGTCCGAAATAAATTTAACACTGGGCAGTTGGCACTTTGATTAGACTGTGCTTGGCATTATAGTTACTAAAGCCATGAATCGAAAGGATTTCATACCGCTCCCTTCCCCTAAACACGCAGCGGGAGGCTAAATTGTACCAAGTGTCAATATGTCCATCCATCTATGTATTTATACAGCTATATAGCTATTTAATAGACAGCAAATTGCAACTACAGTTGGCCTTGTGATGAAACATTTGACGTCTATTATCTGTTGTGAAGCAGTTAACATAAAAATGTCTGAGCCTGGAGCGGTTCAATGAATGCATCACAAACTGAAAGGAGCCCTGAGCGAGACTTGACGCTATAATGGCGTGTAACATAAAGTTTGTCACCCAACTAAATAGCTGTGGACAATGACTCACTTACACGTGGTCAATTATGTATTCATTTCATTCCATTTCTTCGGAATGATCGGCCTGCCCGATTCTATCAGGCGGCTCTGACTGTGGGCAATTGTCCACTTTGTACTTACAGTAATTAATACGGCAGGGGTAGGCTACTGGCAGCCCGCGGGCCGTAAGTGGCCCACTTCCACAGTCTGAGTGGCCCCCAATTCATGAATATGTTTCCACTATAGTGGACCGATGCATGGTAACAGCTTGGCATGCACGGTTTTCTTTTGATATTTAATTGTTGTTGTTGTTGTTGTTGTTGTTTGTGTTTTTGGCCAACCCCCGTTTTTTTGTTGTTTGTCAGCATGTTTTGAATAATATTTTGAGTTTTTACAACAACACCAACAACAAAATTCCCAGTTTTCCCAAAGCATGTCAGTGGGCATCCCAGTTATTTTTGCTATTTGTGGGCTGGGACATGTATTTTGCTATATTTGAAATGGTATTTTTGTAATGCATCTGGTTAGGAAGTGCATGGTCCTATGAGGACCCCAGTGGCACTGACGGAAAAATTGTGGTGCTTGTATCATGTAAGTTGCTCACCTCTGTGCAACATATCATAAAACCAAAACACCATAATCACTGTTACACACACAAACACATACAATTTTACCCATTATGTGAGTGTCTATGCATGTGCTTACTCACACACACAGATACATAAATGTGTACAGTATACGTATGTATGTGTACAAAGACCCACAAACACAGCACATACATGTTATGTAATATCTAATCATATACAAGTGGACAATATTGTTGTTACCCTTCTGTTAATGAAAGAAAAAAAACAGTGGTCACAGAAATGAGGTAATAAATACAAATTTAATGAATATGAACCAATGAAAATCAGACAATACTTTGGAATTGTGGTTCAATAGAATTATTTTCACACAATTAACTCATGAAACAGGGCAGCCCGGTGGACTAGTGGTTAGCGCTTTGACCTCACAGTGCAGAGGTACCGGGTTCCATTCCAGCTCCGGCCTTCCTGTGTGGGGTTTGCATGTTCTCCCCATGCCTGCGTGGGTTTTCTCGGGGTACTCCTCCCACATTCCAAAAACATGTATGACAGGCTGATTGAACACTCCAAATTGACTCGAGGTGTGAGTGTGAGCGTGGATGGTTGTTCGTCTTTGTGTGCCCTGCGATTGGCTGGTACCCCCCACCCCACCCCCGCGCGACCCTTGTGAGGATGAAGCGGATCAGAAAATGGATGGATGGATCACTCATGAAACAGGCCTGAACAAAAGATAGAAGGCTTAACTTTTTTTTAACTTTGTGAGACAATCACAGCAAGTATATGTCTACTTAAAAAAATATCTGGATACAGATGAACAGATGATTATTTTGTGCAACCACTTGACAAAATAAAATTGAGTAAATTAAGCACCATTTTTTTCAGTACAGAGATGTTCAGTAGAATTTCATTTGTTCAATTTTTATATTGTCTGAGGGTATGTTTAAGGTTGTTTTGGGTTATTTTTTAAGATTGGTATATGTAAATCCATCCAACCATCCATTTTCTAATCCGCTTTATCCTCACAAGGGTCGCGGGGCGTGCTGGAGCCTATCCCAGCTGTCTTTGGGCAGTAGGTGGGGGACACCCTGAATAGGTTGACAGCCAATCGCAGGGCACACATGGACAAACAACCATCAGCGTTCACACTCACACCCAGGGACAATTTAGAGTGTTCCATTCACCTGCCACGCATGTTTTTGGAATGTGGCAGGAAACCAGAGCACCCAGAGAAAACCCACACAGGCATGGGAGAACATGCAAACTCCACACAGGAAAGCCGGAGCCGGAATCGAACCCTGCACCTTTGCACTGTGAGGCTGATGTGCTAAACAGTCGTCCACCGTGCCGTGCCACATGTATTTAAATTTCATATAAAATTTCCATCCATTTGAATGAAACATTCAACAAAAGGACCAATACACCTTACATGCTGTTCAACATGCTTGCCAAACGTAAAAAGAATGAGATGTGTAATATCACTAAACCCAAAGTGTTTTCATTTTTCACCATAACTTATTCTTTTGCAGTTTTATCTCACTGTTTTGTGGGGTTTCTCGCTGTTTTTCTTCCTTGCAAGTTGGAGCAGTCAAAAAATGAACAGTAGGGTCTCATTGGTTAATTGACTCTGATGCCCATGCACTACTCTGACAGTGTGTGTGTTCTGAGAGACAGAGTGTGTTCCTTCTTCATTAATTTCCAAATTCAGCATGAACTGTTTCCATATGGACTGCCTGACACACGGGTGCACCGTGTCCCCAGTTGGAGCATCTAGAGCACGCACCAGCACTCCGTTTTGGATGCACTCTGAATAACTGAACAACACTTTGGACCAACATTCTAAGCAAGCCTTAAGGCTTCTTCTTGTTTCAGCTCTTATATACTCGGGGTTCACCTTGGAAATGTCTTGTAAGGTAACATACCTAAAATAACTAAAGCGAGGCGATTAATTAGTTCATGTTTGCCTCAAGCCTCATGAGAAGCAGGCAGAAAGGGGTTAAACTGACTTGCTTGGAAGACTGGAATTTCTGGAGAAACAAGGAAGATAACTGTGATAAAGTACATGAAAACACAGACTCATCCGACTGAGAAAACAAAAAGAGCATGCACATTCGATGGCACTCAAACAAGTATAGTTCTGCAGAGTGTCTGTACTGTGGTCATAAGTAATAACTGTCACTCCACAGTTACTGTAAGGGGTATTTTGCAAAAGGCTTGTTTACTCAGCATATGCGCAATAAAAGCGAGAGAGCGAGAGCTAGATAAAGAGAGAAAGAGAGAGACAGGAAGACCGGTTGAGAGAAACGTGTTTCAGATTGCTGATGCCAGTGACTTAGGAGACATACGTCTTATCAGTGACCAACCTTTAAATTGTAACAGGAGGCAGAATGTGTTTTTGCACTCGACCAGGGTTCACGCACGTGTGTGTGCGTGGGCCTGTGTGTGCGTGTGTGTGCGTGCGTGCGTGCGTGCGTGCGTGCGTGTGTGTGTGTGTGTGTGTGTGTGCGCGCGCGTGTGTGCGCGCGTGTGTGTGTGTGTGTGTGTGTGTGTGTGTGTGTTAGGACTGCCAAGATTCGTCGACCAGTCACGATGACACCAACAATCAAAAGCGACAAATTATTAATAGTCGAGTTGTTTATTTAGACATTTATTTATTTGCGGTTTTCCTGTTGAACCTGTGATGTCTCCTGCTTTTCCCACTGGCTGTAAAAAACGAAAATATATGTTTTGTCGATGTTTTTTCAGAAGCTGATCAGTCGTTATTTATTTGCAGAATACACACAAATTCAAGTGCGAGGATATTGATGAATCATGTTACACAAACTGGTGCTTACGCACGTCAGTAAATGAGAGCCATTGTGCCCTACTGCTGTGTTGTATGAGCTGTTTGCAATGTATTTAATACAATAGAAATGTTTTGAATACAAATTTTGTGATGGCTTTTTTTTCAGGTAGTGAGGCAGGTGGATTTTTTTTCTCACCTACAATCGTGTTGGCATGAACACTCAATAGTGGTCATCTAAACACTTTACACTGTTGTTATTGCTGCACAGTCAACACTACATTTTGTTGCAGTAACACACAATTGGATGTTAACATTTAACATTTCAATCAATGTTACTTTAACACTCGTGTGGATGCATATATGCACTTTGCTTTTCACACCAGCAGGTTTGCAGTGTCGTCACCCAATTCTTTCTCTCCTTGCAGTCTGTATCAGAAAACAGATACTGTACTTACTAACTCGTTATAAGTCAGCAGGCTTTATAGAATTGCTCTCTCTCTCTCTCTCTCTCTCTCTCTCTCTCTCTCTCTCTCTCTCTCTCTCCATCATCCCCCACTTCCGGTCTGTATAAATGTTAAGGCGCAACAAACGCCAAGGTGTCCTCTCTCTGTTTCCTCTGGAATCCATCAGTGAAGAAGCTATCTGTCGTTAGCAGTCCTTATCTCGGCTGGCCGCTCATAGCATTTTAGAAAGCATACCCGGGTGAATTCTCACCTTTATAAAATGAAAGGTTTGAAAATTCTACATGAGCAATTGCCCCTACACAAGTAGCACACATTTAAGATTCATCCATACATTTGCACCTGATAGCGTGCCTAGCTGCTTGTACATGCATTGCAGACACAAGCACACCTCAGGGCAAATCTTTGAAAAGCTACCTGTGGTATCAAGCACAATAATGTGTTCTGCTCTAGCCAAGTGCTGCATTAACAAAGAGATATCGGTGCACTTTGCATTATATCAATGCATCACAGAATTTACTCAGAGCAGATCACGGGCCTTCTTGCGTGGTGATGCACCGGAGTCAAGCTCACATCACGCATGTTTATTTTGTTGTTGTCATTTTGAAAATTTCCAAAAGGTTCCACCAATGCCATTTTTTGTAAGGGATTAGCGGTGTTCCGTTAGGGGTTAGGCTGCTGTGACAAGCATCTTACGGTGACTGACACCTTCAGCCCCCTTGTGTTCAATTAGCTTGTAGTGCATTAGAAATTGCAGGCTAATTGTCAGCTGGCAAACGAGTGCAAGACAAGCGCTCATGTTGATACCTCAGGGAGAGGATGAGAGTGTGGAAACTGTGTGTGCAGGGGGAGTTCACTTTGCTATGAACCCAGAGTATGAGAGCATGCATGCGGTATGTATGCTGTGAATAGTCTTTAGTACTGTCCACGTATTGGCATACTGCATTCAATATTTACAGGATATCACA